ATCCTTCCTGCCTCAGTTCTACAGTACTGTAATTTATCAATTGATTGACTTGTCTTTTATTCTTTGTTTTTGTTAATTTTTGTTTTTGATTTCGTCTCATGGATATTAATGTCAATTATTATATTCAATGTGCAAATAAAACTTAATAAACTTATTAAAACCCTAAGACGATATGGGTAACCTTGTAGAATTTTATACTTCCACAAAGACTCTGACAAAGTCTGTTGCTGAAGACTTTTCATGAACATAGCAGTCAAGGAAGAAAGGAACTGCTTTCATAAGGATCAGTGAATGATTACAGAAATAGTTTTAAACAGACACCTTTGAGAATAGTATTTGGGTTTCCCAAGGGCCTGTAGTAGTAGTAGTAGTAGAGGAAGAATTTAGGCACACATTGTTCTGGAGCACAGAAGCAGGAGAAAAGTGAGGTACCCAAAGCTGTAGATACCATCAAAATGACAAAAGACCCAGAGAAACTGGGAAAGGTTCTAAAAGGATCCCTCTAAAGTTGGAAAATAATGCTAAGTATAATCATTATGAAAGCCAGCATGGTTTAGTGGTTTGAGCATTAGACTATGACTCTGGAGATTAGGGTTTGAATCCCTGATTGGCCATGGAAACTCTCTGAGTGACCTTGGGCAAGTCACATACTCTGAGCCTCAGAGGGTAGCAATGACAAACCCCTCTGAAGATCAAACTTGCCAAGAAAACCCCATGATAAGCTCACCTTAGGGTTGCCATAAGTCAGCAATGACTTGAAGCCACATAACAAATTGGTGGTAGTGGTCAAGCATGTAAGGAACTTTGGATTGCAGTAGATGATTCAGTGAAAATGCCAACTCTGTGAGCCACTGGGTGACCTTGGGCAAGTCACATACTGTCAGCCACAGAGGATGGCAATAGAAACTTGCCAAAGAAATTCATGATAGAATCACCCTAAATTGGAAACAGCTTGAAGGCACAGAAGAACAAGTCAACTCTGCCTGTCAGAAGCTGGAAAAAATAACACATTATTCCAGTGCTTGTAATTTTATGAGCAAATGGCTGCAGAATAAGATGCTTTGTGTCATAACACTTCTTTGCAAATCAGGCTTTGAGAATGTGTAAAAAGGTAAAGGTATTCCCTGTTGACAAGGTTGTCAAGTCGTGTCTGACTGTAGGGGATGGTGCTCATATCTGTTTCTAAGCCAAAGAGCCAGTGTTGTCAGAGACTACTCTGTGATCATGTGGCCAACATGATTGCACAGAATGATGTTTACCTTCCCACTGAAGTGGTACCTATTTATCTACTTGCATTTCCATACTTTCAGACTGCTAAGTTGGCAGAAGCTGGGACTAGTGACAGGAGCTCACCCCATCATGCAGGCCTCGACCTACCAACCTGTCGACTCTGCAATCAACACAGTCAGCATCTCAACCACTTGAGCCACTGCATCCGCTTGAATGTGTAACCCTCAATATATTCCTGCACTAAAGCTTCCATCAGCCCTACCCTCCATAATAAATGGAGAATAACCCATACAGTCCCCATCTCTGGTGGAAATATATTATGTGCAGTGGTTAGAATACTGTGGTCTTTCTATTTTTAAAGTATGGTACATTATAAAGCTGGAAAAGGTGTAGTTTCAGGCAAACAAAATGATTAGAGTTGTGATACCTGTTCTACAAAGAAATATATTATGTAGAACAGTGATGGCAAACCTTTTAGGGGCTGAGTGCCCAAACTAAAAGGCCTTCTGGCACCAGGTGTTACCCGGTGCTGGTGACGAGACCTCTGGGGCAGGACTTCTTCCCCCTGGCTCTGCCCTCTGCATGCTGGGAAAAATGGTTTCGTGTGCCAGCTTTGGCACATGTGCCATAGATTCACCATCACGATGATAGAAGCTTGTTATTGATCTTGAGACACTAACATGTCCATAACCCTTGGTTGCAGGTGGCACAGGGCTATAGCTCTGTAGCTACAAATCTCCAATATTCGAGAAAAGAGAATACAGCTTTCAGGACTTCCCCAAGCTATGCAATGATTAATATAAATTAGCTGTACAAACAAGAAAAAGTGAAAGTATTTCTCAGGCATCCTCAGAAGAAGCCATGTGATTAGTTAGAAATAGCTCTCAGAGGAACCTTGGTCACCGTATTGTGACCAAAGACAGCTGGAGAATTTCCCCTAGAATTAATTGGAGTTATTCTGAATGTATGGTTAATTGACTTATTAATATTTTTCCAGTGTTATGTTTAATAGTCAAATAAGTGAATGACAGCTTTAAGATCTGCTGTTTCACAAGCCCCATGGGCCAGAAGGTGTAGTAAAAAATAATCAGGGCTTTGTAGCTCTCAAACAGAGCAAAGATTGTTTTCCTTGCACATTGCAGCTGATAATGGGCCTTCCGGATCCCCCGGAAGACAATTCTTGTCTTTCTTGTGAATCACTCAAGAGATTCAAAATGGAAAAAAAAAAATAGTGTGGTCCCTTGGTATCTGCTGGAATTTGGTTCCAGGAGCCACTTTGGATAACAAAATCCATGGATGTTTGTAATTGCACAATTGGTATGTGTACTGGTTGTGCTTTGGATCTGAAGCAGCAAACTGCATGCAATATATTAGTCTTCCAACTTTGTTTAAAAAGTAAATTCACAGGGGCTGTGAATTCGATTGACAAGTCATGAAGGTGCATAACCTTGCCAAATGAGCTATTTTTGTTTGTTTGTTTTAAATTGCCCCATCTCTGTTGTTTACCCATGAAATGGGCAAAATTTATGGGAATCTTGAATCTTTTCCTCGTTGAGGAAGAAAGTAGCTTTCACTGATTGATTTTCAGTCTCAAAATGATAATGATAATAATTTCCTACGCATCTCTCCCTTTGGATCAAAGTGTGAAACAACAGCTTAAACACCTACAGTTAAAGGAGCATATAAAAACCTTTAAAACTGATACATATTAAAAACACTCAAGACAGACTTTAAAATTCATAATTTAAAAATCACTTGGATAAGCCTACCAGAAGAGATCTATCTTTAGTGCTATTTTAATTTCATACAGTGTATCCAGCTGTCGAATTTCTTCCAAAGGTAATTCCAGAATCTGGGGGCAGCTGAAGAAAATGTCCTCTGAGTAATAGTTGCCAGCCTAGTCCTGGTTGATTGAAGTAAGTGTTCCCCAGAGGACCTGAGTGTCCAGGGCAAATTGCATGGGAAAAGGTGATCCTTTAGCGAACCTAGACCCAATCACTGTAGGATTTTAAAAGTAATAATCAACACTTTGTACCTTGCCTGGAAACTAATGGGCAGTCAGTAGAATGATTTTAAAATTGATGTAATTTGATCACTCTTGGCTGCTATGTTTTGATGCAGAACTAGTCCATTGTACAGCCATTGGAGAAGTCCAGCTTTGATGTTATTAGCCTGTCCACTACTACCATAAGATCCTCCATCTCTAGGAAGGGGTGCAGCTGACACAACAGCCAGCATAGACCATGCTGAAAAGGGCAAGTACCTTTCCTTAACTCCTCCTCTGAAATTCAGCAATACTCCTCTGTACCATCTTAACTGAGAACAGAAACAGCAAAATGCAGGCCTGTGACTATCATCTTCATTTTTTTCTCCTGTATGTTTTTTAACACCTTGCCTGATGGAGAAGGTAGTGGAGTTTTGAAAGCTTGCAACATGTACGGTATATTGTGCATTTTGGTTGGCCAATAAAAGTATCACTGCTTGATGGATGCACATTATACTTTCGAAGCTCCACTGGCTTCATCATCAGGCAAAGGTGTTAAAAATTATATGGGAGAAAGAAGAAAAATGACAGTGTTGGTCAGAGCAGTGGTGTCACTATGGGGTTGCGGGATTGTGGACCACACCAAGTGACACCCTACATTTTGGCAGAAATGGACTGTGGCATTTGCCTGTATCTCTTTAAAATGCTGAAAAGATGTTGTGAGTGGGGTGAGGCTCAGTGAGAGGATAGAGGAAAGGCCCCCAGGATTTTTAAAATTAAAATTTCAAATTTTAATTTAAAAAATTTCTTTAAAAACATCACATTTTACCAAATGTTCACTTTACCCACATGAAACTACTGGTATGTACCGGTATATGTAAACATATTTATTCTGAGTGTATATTGTAATTTAAAGGTATACATTTAATTTTGCTAGTTGTTTATCACAATTATTACATTCATTGATATATGTGAATTATGATTTATAAGTAAATTAGTACAAAAACATTACTAAGGATTCTATATGGTGTGGTATGGGAGGAAGTTAATGGGGTGTGTGTGATACCATGACTTACCACACCAAGTGACACCAACCTTAGGGATGGCACTAAGTCAGAGCCCTGCATTTGGTCAAGGTGTTATAGTTGTAGTTTTCTGGATGTGAAGATACCATATTTTAGCCCCCACAGGGGAATCCTAAAAAGAGAGGCAATGGACTGGGACTTTACTATTTGAGGTTTCTACTTCAAACAAAGGTAAAACATTTTTTTTCTTTTAAATTGGGACTGCATTGGCATATTTTACCTTAACAACACCAAAAGTTTTCCTGAAGTGATAGCAGGGAGACTTTCTGAGAAATTCAGTGTTCTCTTCCTAACAAAGGGGATTGTGGCCTCACAGAGGATTAGAGACAAACTGGATCTCCAAGGCAGTAGGTTTCTATTTTGCAAATGGAATTTAAACTTTATTGCCTGGATTGAATCTCCCAGTACTTACATGGCCAGGAGAAGAGGCCCATCTGCATCTTCCATACCATCTGAACTGAGGTCCTCTGGAACTTTGTCTAAAAAACCTCTCTTTTCAACTTTAATAAAAGATTTTATCATAAAAGGTACTCCTTTGTTTTCTAATGCTGAGTGCCTCTACTTTCTTATTCCTTAAAATTATTGCTATTAACCACTATCTAATCTTATGATTAACCTATTCCCTTGTGTCACATTAAATAACATTTGCACATTCACACTCCAGATGAATCTGCTAGCTGGATCCTGGTTATAGTCCTCTATCTGACAGATGTCTGTTAAGATTTTGCTCTCTAAAGTTTTTGCTAGTTTCACTTTGTCTTTTGATGGTGTCTCTGGACGTTTTCACACGGGGCTTTAGGAGGACGCAATCCTACCTCCGT